ACTTGAGCAGATAGTAGGATTTCATTGAACTTTATTTTCCTTTTCATTAGATAAATCTGAAACTTGAATATAGGTTCAATAATAATAATAAAATCTTTAATAACTCTCTAAAAAGGGTAAAAAATCGGACCAAAGGCCTCTTTACACTTTTCCCTGTGAAATTGAAAAGGCCATTTCATTTTCATCCAACAATTTCATCCAACAATTTCTGGTACCTTTAACTAAATTACCTGCACACCTGTACAGTCAACCATTGTTATAATTACAATCAGAGATTGTTCGAAACACAACTAGTCATCAGTGCTTTAATAAACTATCGTGAATGGACATCAAATTGTCATTAAGGATTGGGTGGGTATTGTTTACAAGGTTTAATAGAGTCCTGTGATTTTAGGGTCGGTAGTCTATAAAATAGAGAGAACAATAGGGGCCAGGGACAGTTCTTAATCTAACAAAATAATAGTTTAACTATTAAAATAATTACCATTTAATCTTCTACAATACTGTCTTTATTTTATTCTGACCCTACAAACACAGGTTGTTTTTATTTTAAATTATTTTAACAACAAAAATAACTTCCTTTCCTGATTTCAGACAGAAACTTTCTTGATTCTTAATCCCCTTTATTTTATTCTGACCCTACAAACACAGGTTGTTTTTATTTTAACAACAAAAATAACTTCATTTCCTGATTTCAAACAGAAACTTTCTTGATTCTTAATCTCCTTTTATTTTAGTCTGCCCAAACAAAATCATATCTTAGTCTTTGAGTTTTAACCTTGGGGTAATTTCGAATCTTTTGGGGGCAATGAGGCACTTTTAAATTAAATTTTTTGAGAATTATAATGTAAGTAGTTCTATTATTTGGGCTATATCCTCTATTCTCAGACATGAAAAATATTGCAGGAAAAGAAAGAATAAGGGGGAGGGGAAAGAGTAATGCAATTGATCAAGGATCATGTGCAAGCTTTGACATTTTTATGAGTTTTTGTTCTCAGCTCTGAGGTCCTAAAATTTTTCAACGAAATACTAATTTCAATTAACAATGCTGTGTATTTGGTCTTAAAATTGAATTTGTTGGATTAAATTTACATAAAATAAATTTGCTCTTAAGCCTGTGATTTTTAAAGGTTTTTTTCTCCTGTCATTTGAACACCTATTTCAATTTATTGCTCTGTTTTGTTGTAAATATTTGATTTGTTTGATTAGAATTAAAGAACAATAGAACACGATTTTAAAATAGTGTCCATTTTGAATGTGATCTCTACCTCTAAATATCGTTAAAATTCTGTAGAATGGAGTAAAATAGATGTAATAATTTGATGAACCCACTGCTGGACCTAATAGTTATTATTTTTTATGTTATTTTTATAGCTGGACTCAGCTTGTTCCCAACATAAAATTCACATAAACCAACTGAAACCCTGTATTTACTGACCACATCTTAAAATGTCATTTTCCGGTCAAATTATACCTTGTCAAAATTATTACAAATTTTTATTATTATTTGATTTGCCTGAAGAAATAATTTGGTCTATTAAATTTTTGAGTTTTTTGTTCATTTTTTTTATTCATTTTTATTTTTTTAATTGAATTACTATGAAGAAGGAAAATATTCTTTGGTTAACTGAAGTCAAAATAAAAAGGCCATTGGATTGTTTCTACAATTTGAAACAGTTTAAATTTAGAATCTAAAAAAGGGATAAGAATTTTTAGCATTTAGATTGAATATGAAATAAGTGTATTTGGCCATTGATTTGACGAGATTTTTGATTGAAGGAATTATCTTGTTTGTAGGATATTTGATTTTATTTGTGTTAGGATGTATTGAGACGAGACTCAATGAAAGCACTGGCCTAGGTCACAGATCAATAGTATGAATTCGTGGCCTAGGTCACAGATCAATAGTATGAATTCGTGGCCTAGGTCACAGATCAATAGTATGAATTCGTGGCCTAGGTCACAGATCAATAGTATGAATTCGTGGCCTAGGTCACAGATCAATAGTATGAATTCGTGGCCTAGGTCACAGATCAATAGTATGAATTCGAAGAGAAAATTTGTTCAAAACATTTGTCATTTAAAGTTATTTTATAGAGAAATCGACAGATTTAATAAAATGTCCCTTTTTATTTCTGAAGCTCTAATATCAAAATTTGGAATTATGTTTTCCATGTTTTTTCTAAATTTTATCACAAGATATTTTCCTGCTATTTTTATCAATTTTATTGAAACTATTCTAATAAAAAAACAATAGATTTTGACTCATTTTACAAAAAATTTCAAAAATTAATTCTACTAAAATATCAAATAGAATCGTAGAAATTTTATTTTCATGTATTTTATGGTAAAAAGAATAAAAATGAAAATGAAGCCATTTGGTTCGTATTTTTATTGAATTTTCTTGGTAACATTGAAATTTTAGATGTTATATCGATTTTTCTCCTGACAGAGAGTTAGTTTATAGATGGACTACCGAGAAAATCGATGAATTTTACCATTTTTATTTCGCCAGCATTGGACAATAAATATTTAGAAGGGAATCAATTTGATTAGAATTATATTCAGGTCAAACAAATAACTGAGTTAAATTTGGTTAAAATTTCCTTGTATCTGTCCGTGAAAAATTAACATCTTAACAAGTAGCATGGTTTTAATTATTCACATTAGAATTTCATTATAAAATTTATATTTTTAATATTAGTTATAAAGCTAAAAAAATAATAACTTTTAATCAGCAGAAATGGCTTGAAATATTGGAAAAAAAGAGGTCATCAGCAATGTTGAAATCTTAATTTAATTTTTTCTAATATTCCTTCAAGAATTTTTATTGAATAACTTTTCTCTTAACTAAACAGGTCACGTATTCTAGAAACGGATCTTAGTGCTAGAATGTTCCAAGTTCTTATATTCTAACATTGATTCTAGGACATCCTAGTGCTTAGAGTATACATGGCCAGAATTTTGTTCAGGTTTAATTTCAAATCATTGATAAAGTAGAGTTTTTTTTAAAAAACGACGAGTAATTTTTGCAGAAAGTGAAATTTTATAAAGTTTTCTAGTGAGTTATTTATCATATAGTTTTAAAAAATTCCCTAATCCCTGAAGACTTCAGTATCAATAGCATTTTATACAAGCCAGAAATTACTAAATATAACTCAATTATACCTAATATAAACAAGGCTTGAATAAATTTACATCTAATTACCATATAATTAAGTGTTAATGAGATAAGGTATCTAATTAATTTGATGGTAATTATCTTTATCTGTTATTAATTAACAGTGTGGAACTTTGTAGAACATTGTTTGTGGCTAAAATGATTCTCAATAGCATGGCCATGGATTCAGAATTGTTCTTTTGTAAATTTGTAACCCCCAATGAGTGAAGACGTGTATTAAATAAAGAAATGCAAGAAACTAAAATTTTGTTAAAAAAATAAACACTTTAAGCAGAATAATCTGTAAGATTTGTGGAATCAAAAAAAGATTATTTAAGATTTGAAAATATTTGAAGTTAATTTATTCGTAATTAAAATAAGATGATAATAAAACACCCCAGAGTTAAGTTAATCTGGGAATCAAGATTTTAATTATGATCAAAAATAAACAAGATTTTATCTTTTTGTCTTTTAATACTTGTCATTTAAAATAAGCCAGTTGGTTAATTTTTAACTAAGATATCTTGGCTTTTATTTGGGGCCTTATTCTTGGGAACTTAACTTAAGATGATTTTAGTGTTCTAATGTGATTGGTCAATCATTAAAATTGATAATTAATTTAGTTTTATTATCCAATTATATTACTGTATTTCTTTAAATCTGGATTTAATCTTATTTAAGTTTTTGAGAAAAGGCTCCAAGACACATTTTTAATACGTTTTGCCTGAACAAAGTTTTACTTAGTATTACATAGGAGACTCTATTAAGATCTAGACCAGCTTCAACCGAATTTTTGATCAGAATTGGCAGCTTGTATTTAATATTAATATATTTAGTTGAAGTCTATCTACTCTTTTCTTTCTTTGAACCATCAAATTTAAACTTTTTCACAAATTTTACTGTATTTTTGTTTTTAACAATTGTAATATTAAGATGAACTATGTGTAATAAAAGTTTGGTGTAATGTAAGATATTCCAGAAAGGAAATAAACTCGAACTTTTGAAAATTATTAGAAATTTTTGTAATAATTTTTAGAATCATAAAGTCTGAGAGGATTGAGTGAATTCTTTGATTAATCTCATGACAAATTTCAGCCGACAGGCGCCAATTTCCCTGTACACGGACAATAATTGACTCTTTAGTCCAATCATATCTAATTAGCATACACGATAATAGCTTTAATATGATTGGCTTATACAATAACGAATTTAGTCCATTTTTAACGCTCAATTTATTAGCTTGCTTGAGATTTTTATTTTTTTATAAATTTGGGTTTAGTTTTGCTTAGTTTTTAGAGTTTTTTTGTTTAAATATTTACAATGATAATTTAAATAATCGATAATTTTAATCAACTTTTCTGTCAAAGAAAAAGTGTCTAGTCGTCCAGATAGGACAATAAACAGAGGCCCCCCGGGCTACAGGCGATGTATATTAAATATCCCTCGACAGTTGGAAATCGAAAGAGAGTAGGTTAATGCCGCTGTCCTGGAAAAATTTCCCTCTTTGATCACTGCATTACACCTTTTCATTGGCCCAATCAGGATGTAAAACATCATTTCATTTTATTTATGATATTTATCTGGTATTATTACAAGAATAATGAATAAATTATTCCATTTCTCTTCGCTCTAGAGATGAAAATTAATATTGTAACTTTATTTGAATCGGTGCCAACGTCTGGAACCATAATTTATCGTGAGTCAATTAACGAAATTGTTCGTGACAGAAATATTAATGGAACAGACGGACAAATGTAGAATTTGTGTGGTTGTCGTGAGTCGTTGTCGTTGATCAAAGTGACTAACGATGTCTGTTGCTAATCATATTTAAGATAATAATGATAATTTATTTACTTCCTTTGATAATCATCCTTACGACATTTTTATTTTTAGAAATTGTTTATTTCACGATAAATTTTGGCCACAAATTTCTATTTGTTATTATTATCCAAAATAAACAAAATTTACAAACAGTTCGTATTTGTTTGACTTTTATTAACATAATTAGCTCTGTAGGCTTTTGTAATTGTTGATGAAGATGACGTACTTAATCCACAGTGGCATTGTTTATTTATCTTTCACAAAGTTCGAATAACTGTTCACCTGAATGTGTGGGTGTCTGATATTTTGGCCCTTGCAAGACTATGAAAGATTGTCTTTTAGAAGATTTTTGCATGCTCAGAAAATTTCATATAAACTTTTAACGTTTAGTACAAAGTAACACAATTAATCTCTCAATCACTTCGCTCGATCTTCATCAAATCAGCGAAACCAGAAATAACGACAATAAATCGTAGAAATCTATCGTTAGTAACGACCATAAAGAGGCTGGTTAATGGTCGCTTGTTTACAGAACAGACGGCATAGTAATAGAAGAATTAACCTCTAAACCAAATTGGCCATAATTTAGCCTCTAAACAAAACTTAGTAATTACCAACTTGTCATGTTAAGTGCTGTTGTGTGGTTATAGTGCCGTCATTTCCTTTGATTTTCATTTCATTTCGATTCGTCAGTGATGATTAGTATTCATTATCAGTCTAAAACTTATTGTTGATGTGAAAACTGATCAGATAGATTTTATAACAGTGAGGCGGGGCATGCCTACATTAATAGACCCTGTTACTCAAAATTTCGTACATAAATAAGTTTACTTCTTAAGTAAATAAGAAAGTTATATTTGACGTTATCAAATTGTTAATTTATAACGTTTACACTCGTAGGTTAATCTACGATATTTTGAGAAACACGCTCATGGATAATTAAATTTTATTATGCAATTTTGTGCAATTACAGTTCATCATTATAAGAACATTTTACTGTTGAATTTAAAACTGGCATTCATTGTAAGAGTTGGACTCAATGGTAATATTAAAGATGATGGTTAAAGAGATTGTAAAGAAGTTTACATCGAGGACACTTATAGCATCAATTTGCATCGATCTCTTTTTCAGTCAGTGCAAAGAAGAAGTGTTTGATGATGTCACTAAATAGGCTCTTCACGATTAGTTACGACATCAAACAGATAGTTTCAGTGGAATTGCTCAATCCACAGAATTCTATCTGAAAATTTGAATGATGCAAATTGATGCTATCAGTGTTTCTGATACATATAAGAAATTAAGAAAACCTCATTACAATCTCTTTAAGGTTTTAATCAAGTGAGGCAAAATATGCTTACACTTTTTGGAACACCTGATGACGACGAGATAATGAGATACCCAATAATTTGTTTGAATTAAAAAAGGTGCTTTAGTGTGATGGTATTTCAAAAAAATTACGAAATAAAAGTTGTATTTTCTGTTAAGTTATTAGCTGTCAAACAGACGTCCTGATTTAGAAAACAAAAGTAGACTCTGTAGACTAATGAATATAATGACGAAAATAAATAAAGTCTTCTATTGGCCCCCCGAGAGGAACTTTGACTGACTTTTTACTGTTTATTTGTAGTTTTAATGGACCAAAGAGACCACGAAGTCGTCTGTATTTAAATGACCAATCATTTCTTCTGATTATTTAATTTGTTGTTGTCATTGGTGACGTGTCGTTATCATATTAATGTCAGGTTAGGCTTGTAGAATACGATTATTTCTTTTCATATTAAATAAAGACTAATTAGATTTCTGATGAAGTTTTATTTTGACAATCTTATAATTGAAATATTTTGGTGCTGTAGTTATGCCATTTTGAAATTGAAAGAAGTAAATCAAACTTTGTAATTTCAAAAATATTTTCTCTTGTTTTGGATACACAAGGGAATGTATAAAACACTTCATTAATAACACAGTACATAACATTTCAACACAATTTACACTTGTTGTCAGATGAAAATGAGATGTTTTGGAAGTATTTCACAGTGATATTTAACCTGAAAAAGTAGGCATATAACAGTGGTAAGAAACACAAGCCCATTGCAAACACAACAGACGTC